TATCAGACATACTGTGAAAATTTCCTTGCTCTGTTAAACATAATTTGGGAAATATTAAAAAAAAAATTCAAAGGAGGGCTAATATATCTGACTTCAGCTGTATATCATAATGTGAAAACAGAACAGCTGCAGCAGATGTATCAACTGTAAAAGCAGCATTATTTGATTAAAGAGGGCTTGAAAATTTGATCATACGTTTTCACAGTGGGTAAGAGACAAAAGCCTGGTGAACTGAGTACAGCTGGCCCAGGAAGGGAGCGTACAGCGTGCTTCTTCTGGCAGGGCCGTCACTCCAGTGTAAGTGGCCGCGGCACGTCTGCCCTCATGACTGTTGAGCTGGGCAACAACAAAGGGGCGCAAGTCCTGGTCACACAAGGGAAAGAGCCACCCTGCTTCCTCCAGCTCTTCCTCGGAGGGCTAGTCATCCACAAAGGCTGCAGGGAGGGTAGTTCTACCAACACAGGTAACAAATACAGATTAAGCATATTTGACCTATTTAATCACTTATACGAGTTGCAAGTTTTTGGTGTGTATGTTTTTTTTTGCCATTCAGGAGACTGGCGTTTGTTCTGTGTGCGTGGAGAGACAAAGATGGAAGGTTCATTGGTTGAAGTTGAGTGCTGTAGTGCCAGCCTGCGCTCCCGTGCTAGCTTGTTGCTGCTTGGTGTGCAAAATGGACAGCTTTACCTTTGGCATGGCTGTAAATCTCATCCTGGTACACGGGAAGTGGGAAAGAGGACCGTGGAGCGCCTCACTCAAACGTGAGCAGAGTTTTAGAATTATCCATAGCCTGACGCTTTTTCTACGCAAATACAGTAAATGTGATTACCGTATGATGATTTTTTTTTTTTATATATATTAATGTTTTACAGTTGTCCTCGTGAGATGGGTTTGAACAGTAATAGCAGTTTGAAAGTGAATGAGATGGAAGAGGGAACTGAGTCCAAGGAATTTTGGGATGCTCTTGGCAACCAGGACAGGAAAGCATACGACTGCATGCTGGAAGGTACAAAAGAAACTGTTTCTTTTTAAAACATCCCTGTTTTTTTGTTATGAATTGGTTTTACATTACAACAGACACATGAATAGTATCTTATGATGCCATGACAATTCCATATCTAGTATGCTTGCTGCAAACATACATTATATTGGCAACAGTTTTTACTTCCATGGCAACAGGGGTATATAAAATACATTCTAAAGACCAGCGCAATCTGATGAAGCCCTACTAAGAAGACGATGTGTAACATGGTCTTAAATGAGGTTGGTGTTGTGTTCTCGTTCTTTTCGTGTGCGCATTTGAATGCGCATAACTCGGGCAACTTAATCAAACGTTGATTTGAACTTTTAGAAACAAAACTTATGGGAGAGTTGTTGTTTAATTTTATTGGTGATTCAAAATGTATTATGTAATCATTAGCTTGGCAAACAGTTTTGGAGGGTTTAAGGTTTCCCCATTCATACTGAATGCCCAACTGTCCAAAAGGTGTTTTAAATATGGCCGTTCAATGAAATGACAAGCCATAAAGGGACTTTGGTCTTAGCCAGCTTCCTTGCTCCTGAGGTCGTTCATGAGTAGGTTGTGTGCATGAATTCAGGCACTAGTAAGGACAGTGATGAACTTGGTTTACTACACATTAAAAACACATGAGCTAAGAACATCCTCATTTTACATCATCAATTTTTACGTTACGTTTACATTTATAGTTATATAATTCAAATTTATATAGTTTCCTATAGCAACATTTTAGCCAATAAAAGTTATAAATGTTTGCTAAATTGTTCCTAGCCTATCAGCTATGTTAAAAAATAAAGCAAGAAAGAAAACATCTCTTGTTTAACGTTACGTTTAGATGATATTGGTCACGTGATTCATACTTCCATTTTTCCGATTTTCACGGTCCATTGTGAGACTTTTTAGGGTACTAATGTTTCAGTGCACTTGAAGAGTTTTGTTATTGACAGCTCTTAAAATGACTGACACCATGATCAGAGCTCTGACCACTCAACAAGGGTGCTGACTGAGATGCACCCTGTGTCTGCAAACATTTGTGAAAGAATGGGTCACTCAGTGAGTCAAGCTTGGTTTGCCACCTGTGTAATAAATCCATTTGTGATATTTCCACAGCACTAAATAGTCCACATTCAACTGTTAGTAGTATAACAAAGTGGAAACAACAGCAACTCGCCATGTAAAATGTAAAGACCATGTAAAATCACAGAGCGGAGTCACCACATGCTGAGACGCACATTATGTGCAGAAGCCGCCAACTTTGTGCAGAGTCAATAGCTACATTCTGCCAAACTTTGTGTGGATTAGCTCAAAAATACTGCATTGGGAGCTTAATGGAATGGATTTCATTTGCCAAGCAGCTGCATCTTAGCTATACATCACTAAGTGCAATGCAAGTATCAGATGAAGTTGTGTAAAGCGTGCCAACACTGGACTCTGGAGTGATTAATCATGTTTCTTTGTCCGGCAATTTGATGGACAAGTCTGGGCTTGGTGGTTGCTGGGAAAACAGTCAAGTGTAAAGTTTGGTGGTTGTTTTTTAGGGGCCTCATAGTTCTATAGAAAGGAACACTCAATGCTTTAACATACCAAAACATGTTGGACAATTTCATTCTCTCATGTTTGTGGGAACAGTTTGGGGATGGCCCCTCAGTGCAGTCCTGACCTCAACCTGACAGAACACATTTGGAATGATTTGGAGACTGCGAGCCAGGCCTTCCTCCCCAACATCAGTGCCTGACCTCATAAATGAACTTCAAGAAGAATGGTCAAAAATTCCAGTAAACACACTCTTAAACCTTGTGGACAGCCTTCCCAGAAGAGTTAAAGCTGTTCTACTTGCAAAGGGTGGGATGTGTCCATATTAAAACCCACAGATTAAGATTTGGTTAAATCAGATAAAGTTCATGAGTGTCTAAAAGCAGATGTTCTAAAACGTTTGCCAATTTAGAGTAACAAGATGCTGTTGGTATCCACAACAAAACCTCATTTATGACTGATTTCAAACATTCTATACAGGCAGCAACTTTGCTTCTTTAAAAAAAGGTGTTAAACAGTATCTCAGTAAATATACAGCAGGTTTTAATAGAGGTTCTTTAGTAGCCCACACAGACTTGGGTAAACTAACCAGTAATTTCAGTAGAGTTGTTTGTTAGCATAAGCATGGTAAAAAATGTGTGATTTTTCTGTCAAATCTAAAATTAATTTTCTTTTTTAATATCAAGACACAAATCATATTTAGTTGAAGTCGATTGTTAGCATGTTGCTCTGCTTTTTAATTAGTAAACTTGACTTACTGATTTTAACACTGTTTGCCGTTAGCTTGCTGCTATGCTAAAACCCCAATGTGTGAACAAGTAACAAAGTATTAGAAAAATGTCACTTTTAATTTGATCTATTTACTCCAATTACTGCATCAGCTATATTTATTTGCTATACTTCTTTGTTTGTTTGCAGATCCAGGGAAGTATAACTTCACACCACGTCTTTTCCTTCTAAGTGCCAGTGGTGGAACTTTTCAGGGAGAGGAGATATTTGGGCCTGCTCAAGTGACAGGAACCATCATGGCCATGCCTTTCCTGCAGGAGAACTTGTATTCAGCCCCTCAACCTGGTACATATTAATGTTTCTCACACTTAAATGAAGAGTTCAGATGCAAAAGCTGCTAAATGGCACTTCCGCCAAAAATGAGATAATGACATTGAGCGAATGCTTTAGGCACGTAGTACACCATCAAGAAATAGTTTTGAAATCACAACGTCAGTCATTCAGAAATAACAGTTTGTTGGCAAAAGCCTATAAATGCCACCTGCCTTTGGCAGCAAAAATGCTATTTCCCGAGAACCAATCAGAAAGCACAAATTGAATCATGTGTTTTCAATGTAGCAGTGTGCTGACAAGCCGAATTTTATGAGGAGATGTTTTATTCTGCTTTAGGTTTAAATTTTACAAGATGGAGTTTGATGAACTGCATGAGCCTGTCTGACTGTCACTGAATGGCTAATGAAAACGTCCATTACCATCCCTTGAAATATTATTTTATATCACGGATGCTATGACATGATATAAACAGAAGAGATGAAAAAGAGGAGTTACGAACAAGACCTTGAGTATGTTGAGGATGAATGAAAGCTTCTAAAAGGGTCTGATAGACATCTCTTTTTTGCACAGTAGCCTACTCTGGGTTTTATTTGCAAATGTAAGCTAATTTTAAAGATAAATATAATGTATAAACTATACATTATTTATTTTACTTAATACAATATGTCTGATAAGCTTTTTATATAAATTGACATTGCACAGATATTGATGTGTCTCTGTTTTGCCCTGTTCTACTTGCAGTACACCAAAATATTTGAATCGATAATATTTTTAAAGTATTTTTTTAGTATATTTTTCACATAGCATGTAATGATAGTGGTGCACATACGTAATTTTTTTTTTTTCCGCTTTATTTTAATGTTAACACACTTCAGAATGTTTTGCACAGTGTTCGCGTGGGTTTCTTGCAGGTGCACAGTTTCCCCCACAAGTCCAAAAACATGTGGCATAGGTGAATTGGGTAAGCTAAATTGTCCATAGTGTATGTATTTGAATGAGTGTTTTTGGATTCACAGTGATGGGTTGTAGCTGGAAGGGCATTCACTGCGTAAAACATGCTAGATAAGAGGGTGGTTCATTCCGCTGTGGCGACACTAGATTAGTAAAGAGACTAAGGTGAAAAGAAAATGAATGAATGTTTTGCACTGTAGCCTACATTTTACACTGCATTATTTGAATCTAAAAGTCTTAGTTTACAATGTTTACATTTTTCTACTTACATTAAATCTCAAATATCAGAAATGATGAAAGATCATTAAGATTTTATTAATGTCTATTTTAATGTTATTGACTTAATGCATTTCCCAGAGATGGGTTGTGGCTGAAAGGGCATCCGCTGCGTAAAAACTTGCTGGATAAGTTGGCGGTTCATTCTGCTGTGGCGACCCCGGATTAATAAAGGGACAAAGCCGACAAGAAAATGAAAGAATGAATGACTTAATGCACTTACTTGACAGATTTCGTTAATTAATTTTTCTCCGGCTTAGTCCCTGATTTATCAAGCTTTGCCACAGTGGAATGAACCGCCACTTACTTGACAGAGTTATGTATTTTTGATTTTAGGTGGTTTGTGTAACGTGTTTTATGTTTGGTAAAATAATTGTACTTGTATCTTTAGTGATTTTTAACTATTTTTAACTAATTAAAATGTCTTGTCCCAATGAGTGGATTTAGAGGTTTTTGCAACAACAACAAAAAAAAAGCACAAGTGGATTTAGCTGGTTTTGATGCAAAAAAAAATCTACCTTGTTAAAAACCAGATTAAGAATTGTCTTAAGTGACATTTATGACAAAAAGCTATTTTATTTACCAGCTAATAACCTTATCATTATCTATAAAATGAAACTTCTGAACCTAATCAGAGGAGCCTGAGAGATGCTTATTTACAAGAAAATAGGTCTGATGGATTTAGAGGGTTTTCCATCTAAACTCTTCAAATTGTCAATCTTATGTTATCAATAAACATATTTGACGCTGCTCATATTATAACTGGGGGTTAACTGTTAATCCTGGGTACATTGTGCTAACCCTGCTCAAGAGTCATTTTAAAAGTGATGTTTAAAATGACCATAATCTAAGCTTAAGCGCAGTGTGAACAGCCTAAATGTCATTATACATGAATGTACAATGTGCAAGATGTGAAACAACAAGAATTTGTGAGTATATGCCAATACTTGCTCTATCTGGCTTATCCTTTGCAGCTCTGTTCTTGGTGGATAACAGGATGGAAGTATACCTGTGGCAAGGACTACAACCAGATGATACAGAATTAACTGGCTCTGCCAAAATCCGCTGGGACAGTGAGAGGAAGTGTGCAATGGAGACAACACTACAGTACTGTCAAGGTTAGTAGGTGGGATCTTCACTTTGGGCAGAGGTCAGGAAATCAGTTCCTGCACTATGAATTTGGGAAGTTCATGTCAGTCCATTCCAGCTGGCAGATATCCAACAGCCATAGCTGAATTGGTCATCTGGGTGTGCCGCTGTACTGTGTGGGCCTATTGTTACTGTAAATATGTCTTATAAAGAATGGATGATAGTAAATTTACTACTACTGGCCCACACAGAAAGCTCAAATTTTAATGTGATTTATTTGATTTAATCCATAATGTAATTCCTAAAGATATTGTTTTTAACATACATTTTGTATATAAATCATTACATAAGTGAAAGCTTGGGTTAGATCACACTCTTTACGCCAGATAAATATGATCTAGCACCGGACGCCAGATCCTGTCAGAAAATGTCTGTTTTACTGGGTATCCAGACAACAAGCCAGAATCCTATCAAAATAGGAGTTGACTGAGAAAGCTAGAGAGGAGCAGAAGCAGGAGACCAAGTAATGATGATAAAGAAAGAGAAGAGTTTATTGTATAGTCTTAGTTGCATATGTTTTAATGCCTCGCTTTGATTATGATAAATCCAACAATTGTTAATATACCACAAGCAACAGCAATGGAAATTACTGCTTCACAACATTGTCCAGAGACAATACAGACCTTGAAATGGAAATATTCTCTTATCTCTTACTCATGAAAACAAGTGTTGCTTGAATCTACACAGTCATAATATTATAACAATATGAAATAATAGTAAAGCAATAAGTATAGGAAAATATTAATAATAAAATATAAAAACATAATAAAATGACAAATAACAATAATTAAATCATTAACTAATGATCAATAAAATGATGTGATGGTAAGTATATAAATGAATAATGATCATATGATTAAATAAAATGATTAAATTAAGAATAAATAAATATAAACATAAAAGGTAAAACAACAGTAATGAATAGTGGTTTTCTTGCGACAACACATACACACACACACACACACACACACACACACACACACAAGTTTGCAACAAGGATTCTCAGATTATTAGTTAGATTTTTCAATTATGATAGATTACAGACAATTCTTTAGTAATTTTACCAGTCTTAAAATTTGGAAAATGACTCTCAAAACTTAATGTGGGGTAGTTGTTGCTAAAAAAAAATTACTTGCTCTTTGCTAAACTGATTCATGTCAGAAAGATCCGTCTCAGTCTATCCCTACTCATTGCATTACTCGATGCATAAACTATTTAGTAGCAATATACAAAAAGGAGCATTACCACTGTTACTTGTACCGCCGCTGGTCTATACGAGTAAGAACGTGTTTTTAAGTATGGCCGTAGTTTGCGACTGTGCCACCAGGGGAAGCAAAGGGCCGGGATGCAGACGGACAGAAATAGGGTATATGCCGAGCTAGTGCTGTTGCCATGCTGATACACTTTCGGTGACCTGTTATTGTGAACTTTTTCTCATTTTATACGGTTTCTTATACAGCATTGATGTTGTTATATGATTAAAATACATTCAGTTAAATAAACTTTAGCATTTATTTAGTTGCTCAAGCGTAAAACGAGACAAAAAGCCGTTTACTCGCACGCACCCGTCAGAATCGGCAGGCTAACACAGAAGCTCTATTGAATATACTGCGGTAAAATAAATGCTCATGTAATAAAGATATGGCGTGGGAAATGTAATTTATTGCAGTGCTTCTTGTACCATCTGAGACCCACTTTAAATCGGATATCACTCAGCTAGTGGAGATCGCTGATTTTTAAAGAAAACAGACCTTAAACGCACCGGATTTTGCATTGGCATTCAATTCGCCGGAAGCGCTTAACCCAGGTTAATGGCAAATTTAAAGTAATATTAGCATGCTTCGGCATATACCCCATAGCCATGGCCGGAGCAAGCTGAACTGCCGCTCTAGGCAAAGGACGATCACGCTGCCCTCAACCCCAATGTAAAAACAAAAGTGACCGGTTCTGAAAATGAAGTGAGGTGTCGCGGACCTCTATTCTGTCGCCCTATGCTGAAATAACTGAGGACGCGAGGGTGTCGCGGACCTCTAATCTGCCGCCCTACGCACGGATTTATCTGAGGACACGTGGGTGCTGATGGAGGAGTCGCTGCCCTCTAGATTCTGTCACCTATGCGCGAATATATCTGAGGACGCGGTGGTGAGGGAGGTGTCGCGGACATAACCGAAGACGCGGGTGGTAAGGGGGGTGTTGCGGACGCCGCCCTCTCTATACTGCCACCCTAGGTCGCCTCTATGGATGCGCCGGCCCTGCCCATAGCCTATACCAGGGCTATTTGGCGGCCCGCAAGGCAATTTGTTCCAGCCCTCCAAACAGTGTGACCAAGACATCAAAGATATATTTAAATCAGTAGAAAAATGTCTTATATAGTTATGAATGAATATGAATGCGCAGAGCGTGAGTAAAAACATCTCACGCCGTAGCATGCAATAGAAGCAAAAGATGTTACAAATCTTTTATTACAAATTGTTAAAATATCGCAGATGATAACAACATTTAATTTAACTACTTACCTAATATGAAGCTTAAATTTATATAATCGTGAAACCATGATTATTCTTCAGACTATATAATCGTTCAACCAAAATCTATAATTGTTGCATCCATAATTGTTATGCAGTTTAAAACATAGCATATAAATGTGTTTGAATGTAAAATAAGTCTACTTAAACAATACAATGCTTTTGTTGTGCAATACAACATTTGAATGTTTGTAAAAAGAAAAAAAACCTATTAGACAATGCACTGATATGTACTTTCAAAATACAATATATTAACATTTTAATGTAGAAAAATACATTGTGGGTGTCTTAAGGAGCAAAAATAAAACATATGGTATCTCATGTGCTGTTGTGCCATTACTCATGATGCAAGTCATATTTTGGGATGCTTTTCATGAACTGGCTCCCATGACAAACTAATTGAATAGCCCTGGTGTCACACAACCAGAAATCGCTGGTTCTCACACGAACTCTCAGGACTACACTTCCGCATTCCCCAGGACTACACATTCATACATGCACTTCTCCCAGACACGCACGCCTGCTCATTCATCTACCCTGATTACAATCACCAGCTGCATCTTGTCAGAGACTGATACAAACCATTCATAAGCCACTCTTTCACCCTTCCAGGTTGCCGAGTCTTGTTTACCCAGTGTGACATTACAACGCGTTTCCCTGTCTTATTTCTCCGTGTTTGAACCTAGCCTTGTATCCTTGTCATCCTGCATAGCCGCCTGCCTTTCGACCTTTTGCCTGTTTAACATTTATGATTCTGGACTGCCTTAATATACCCGTTTGCACCTGTATGACCACTGCTTGCCTGACGCTGAATAAACCTGCATATTGGATCTTACCTCCAGTTGTCTTTGTCACTCCACCCAGTCGTTACACCTGGCCTATACAGTAAGTGTACATACTCTGCTACTTGTAAATGAAGACGAAACAATAAAACAAAGCATTATAATTCCTTAGTTAATTATTAAAATACGTATGTGTAACTTAAAAACTAAATTTATTATCATTGTAAACTTATGTGAAAAGAGGATTCATTTTGGATAGTAGAATTAAAAAAATAAAAGGCAACTAAAATGAAGGGACTAACATACATACAAATAAGTAGGTGTAAATAAATATATTAATTAATTATTAAATTAATAAATAAATAAAGCAGTGTTTTAGCCTAAATATATACTGAACAGTGTTATTTTAAAGCGATAGGACTAAGACTAAGAATAAATAAGCTTTATCATTTACAGTTTATTTACATTTTCATTGTTCATTATATTTTACTATCTCATTTTATGTTTCAATTACTGTACATAAATAATAAACTAAAAATTAAATAGATCTCAGTAATTATTTATTTAAAGACATTACCAGCGAAACACTGAGAAACAGCCCGGCGCTATTTTTATATAGACCTACTACAATTTAAAAGAAGGCTGCTAAGTGGGCTATATTATTTTAATTCTAGCCTATATTGTTTTCATTTATTTCTTCTGTCTCTGTGTATGCCTCGTTCATTCTTTCGCTTTCTTTTCGGCTTAAGAAGGTCGCACACCAGTTGCCCCGCTCGGCGGCGCGCCGCGCAGCACCATGCATTTTAGAATTCTAAACATAGGTTTCTATCAGGATACACACACCGGCGCCGCAAGTCAGCGGCTGTCGGCGGCGCCCGTCCACGGCTCAGGACGCAGTTCATTTTTTAGCCGCGCCACAAAGCGCCATCTGATTAGTTTCATGTTAAATATCATTCGGATGTGTGCATCAGGTGTGTGATACTTTAAACTGTCATATGCGCGCCTTGTCGTGGCGCCAAGCGGCGCTTCTGGTGTGCGACCTGCTTTAGTCCCTTTATTAATCCAGGGTCGCCACAGCAGAATGAACCGCCAACTTATCCTGTTTTTTACGCAGCGCATGCCCTTTCAGCTGTATCCCATCTCTGGGAAACATTCACTCACACTCATTTACACTCATACACTACGGACAATTTAGCCTACTCATTTCATCTGTATCGCATGTTTTTGGACTTGTGGGGGAAACTGGAGCACCCGGAGGAAACCGGAGGAAACCCACGTGAATGCAGGGAGAACATGCAAACTCCATACAGAAACGCCAACTGACTCAGCTGAGGCGCGAACCAGCGACCTTCTTGATGTGAGGCAACAGCACTACCTACTGCGACACTGCGTCGCCCTGTTTGCCTCATGTAATGCTTACTTTAATAATTCCTAATGATCTACTTTGAACAACAACCATTCATTCATTAATTTATTTTCTTTTCGGCTTGGTCCTTTTATTAATCTAGGGTCGCCACAGTGGACTGAACCGCCAACTTATCCAGCACGTTATTATGCAGCAGATGTCCTTCCAGCAGCAACCCATCTCTGGGAAACATCCACACACACTTATTCACACTCATACACTACAGACAATTTAGCTTACCCAATTCACCTGCACAAAATGTATTTGGGCTGTGGTGGAAACCGGAGCACCCGGAGGAACGGCAACGGGAGAACATGCAAACTCCACACAGAAATGCCTACTAACCCAGACTCAAACCAGTGACCTTCTTGCTGTGAGGCGACAGCACTACCTACTGTGCCACTGCGTCACCAACAACCATGAATCTAGTAATTTTACCACTGCTACTTACTTAATGATAGACATGTTGCTCATGTGTGAATGCAAGACTTTTACACGTCATATTTCCTTTGATGGATCATAATATTCTACCTTCATTCGGATCGGTATTCCATGATGACTAATGTCCACATTAGTGCTTTCAGACAGTGATGTGGGCAGTAGTTTCCATCACTACAGTCCCTGCAGACTCTGGAGGAAGTGCTGGAAATCCGGTAAAGTTAAGGCAGTTCTCTAAGCAACAGGAAAACTGTGCAGATAAATTTCAATTCCAGCTTATCCTGTCTATTCACGATTCCTCCCGCTTTCTTGTGCAGCATTTGCTTTAGGTTTATGTCTATGTAATTAACATAAAGGAAACATGAGAGAAGCAAAGACTTAAACCCTATAAAGTCATTCAACACTGTATATGTTCAAAATAAACACAACTCTGTTCAAATCTTTTAAGCAATAGTATATTTTTCGAATATATATTTTTGTTCTATCAGCCAGCTTTGTAGGCCTACTGAATTGATTACACTGCATACATATATTAGATACATTTACAGAGCTTTGATTATAAAGCTAAGCATTTTAAGGCTATTTATCTAAAGACAGATTATTGGAAGGTTTAGAGCAATAGATTATATGCATTTCAGTAGTCTGTACTAGTCTTATATACTGTACCACTCTGTTATGGGAATATAATTCCTTTACATTCCTTCACCAAATTACTATACAAGTAAAAGTGAGCTGCATTTTGTTTTGTATTCTCCCATAAATCAGATTATAACCGGCCATAAAGGCTGATATATCAAGTAGCTGAAAACAGTAAATAATCAGAGCATTTATATGCATCTGTTTAGCAATTTGTACAACCTTATATACAACCTTGTGATAATGTGGGTCACACACTCAGATTCACAGCACTGCGTCTAAAATCAGGATTGATACTTTTGCCAGGCTCAGCAGATTTTTTTTTCCTGTAATTTCCATCTAGTTCATACAACATATTTTCCGACTCATGCTCTCTCTCCACTGGTGGACACATCTGAGCTGAATTTTACTGTGCGCAGTTTACAAAGAGCAGTGAAATGTAGATGTGCAATGTAGAGACAGAAAAGACATGCCCTCATGGAAAGATAAAAAAATGACACAAGGCTATTTTTTTTTTTGTTTGTTTAATAAAATAACCAAGTATAGACCTGTTCTGTGGGATGGGAACCTTAAATGACTTCTGTTGTGATCTAGTGCTAGAAAATAAGATTAAATAACTTGACTTTCAAGGGTGGTAAACGGTGCTATTGGGGCACCCTCTAATATAATGGAAGAAGAAACTCATATGGTTGACAAAGTTAGATTCTTCTCTTCTCACATCTATTTTCATCAGTTTTTGTTTGTGGAAGATGGACATCCAATAAATACAGACTCACATCACTTCATAGAAAGGTATCGATGAACATATTAATCATTCTAAGGAGACGGACTTTGTTTATACTTGACTAAAACTTTACAGCAGGGGTCTCAAACTGCCGGCCCACGTTCCTCCCTCCAAATATAATGAGATTTGGCCCAACAAAACATGTATTTTTGAATCACTATCATTGTTGTGCAGTCACATATAGACACTTGTGGTTTTTACCTCTACCTACTGGCCATTTAAAATACTGGACTATCTATTCGGGTTACTTTCGGATTCTCTCAACGTGCAGTCAAGAGTAACGCACATGCAGATTATTTCTGCGGTTGATTTAAACGTTGAAATATATGTTCGTAAGTGCTCTATTTTTACTAAATCTCTATTTTTGTAAATATTCAAGGGTCATTTGATTATTATCGGTATTTTGTTGTACAAATACCTCTTCGTGGCTTACACATTATGCTGGAGGTGTAATTATGATCATTTTGCTAATATTCGATTCAAATGGTGTCATTAATAGATTTTCCTAATATGCATATTAAGATTTGTAAAAAAAAAAAAGTGCATTAGGAAAATTTTACTGCTGGCTGAATTGAACATGTTAAAGTAAAAGTGGATATACTCAAACTTTCCCCCTCATTGTTGTAGTTTTTTGATAAAGAATGATATTGAGACGAACAATTGCAAGTAAAGTCAACAAAGTCCACCCAAACTCTTTTCTGCTGTCTTACGCTATCTGTTAAACTTTTGATTAAGCAACACTCAATTATAACATTATTATTATTAATATTATTATTACTATCATGCCTATTATTAAATTGTAGTATTTTCATAGCATATTAAACTACCACTTCAATACAGCATGTACAACAAGAAACAAAAAGGAGCTTTGATACTCTAGGGAAGAATGTCTGAGTTCATCAATTACATCAGGTTTCCACTTTTTTCTTGTGCTTGAATGTTAAAACGGCCCTTTGATGAATTGTCAGTGACTGATATGGCCAATCTGAGTTTGAGACCCCTGCTTTAGAGAGCAACATGAATTGTATATTGAAAGAATTAGACTTTTGCCAGTCTCGCTTGAATCCTATACTAATGGTGGATAATCTGGATGGTTATACAGTAACAAATACAGTGCATATACTTTCAAGTTAAACATACATCTTTCTGCAATGCCCTAACTGGTTCTGACAATTGTTTTGTGCAGTACATATTTACATCCTAAACATAAAACATCTTAAATCTTGAAGCACAAAATTGCCTTTTTTATAATAACCTAGTATTATATCAAATAGTATGTTCGATGTTTAAGTGCAATCTTTTAATAAGGACGGACCTTAAGTCATTTGAAATATACACCAAAAGTAAGCCAAAACTCATTCAACTATACAAATCTAAAGTTTAGGTTGATATTCTGAAGCCAAACAGTATATTTTGGCCATCCACTTTCTACATCTCACTGTGTTTTCGTTTTATTCTTTCCTTTTCCGTCAGTTGGTGGAGCTCTGGTTTCTTGCCACTGTCACTGTGGTTTAGTTGGGGACAGTAGAGCTGCTCTACAGTGATTCACATCCTTCAATAATGACACTTGCATTGAACTGAACTGATTCATCACTAGAACAAAGCAACAACAAAATTAGCTTAGGGACTGAATTTGACTAATAAACTGAACTTGTTTTTAAAACTGATGAAACTTCATTCCAATTAATGCCTGTTTTCTTTATAAATCTGCTTTTGACTTAATTTTAATTTTATGAAGCGTTATAGAAATAAGGGTGACTTGACATGACAGTCCTCGTGACAGTTTTCGCCCTTTGTAGCTAAAATAAACAAAATACAGTATAAGATTACCTTCCTGCTTAAATGCATTGCATCTATTATCCCGAGATACACTGCATTCATCATTCTTAGTATTTTAATATTAGAATAACATGAAAGAACTTTAAAGATGTGAAACCTACCTTATTCAAATAACAATACATTTATCAGAAATATCCCAGGTAGCACAATCTTAATGTCAACTTGCACTGGTTGCCTCATAGATTTTATAATTCAACTTGGTTTCTTTGGCATGGTTAGGTTCCTGTTTGGTGGATGGTCAAGCTAAATTTTATTACTAATGGAACTTGTTGTAAAAAGCAGATTTCCAGCTTTTTTTTTTTTAATGAATAAATCAAACGTGAATTGACAATGGATCAAATCGTGATCTGGAATAGTTTCTGTGAATTTTAAGGCTTAAATGACAAGACTGACTTGGAGAAATATTGTAAGGATTATCAACTACAGCTATGCCAACCGTGTGACCAATTTCAACCCAAGGGTGGGATGAACACAATTTCACATGAGGGAAACAGAAAGAATGTGACTATGGCATCCTTTTGCTTAGCAAAACACTCTAAAAAAATTTAAGGGATAGTTCACTCAAAAATGAAAATGTCTTGGTCTTTTTGAATTTGTGAATTGTACCATAAAGTAGTCTATTCATTTATTTTGTTTGTTTTTATCTCCACTAACAGAAAACTCTCAGTAGATTTTTTTGAAAAAAGTGTGTTATGCTTAAAGGTATGATGCATGAGACTTTGACATGGAAATAATAATAATAATAATAAAAAAGTGGTTTTATTTTTGATCTCAGTATATGAACTAGTGGGATAAGGTGTGAATGTACAAGCTTATAATTTGAATAATTCAACTGAAAAGTAAATTGTTTTCTGTTTACTCACCCTAGTTTTTTTTAAAGCCATTTGATTTTTGTTTAGCCTCAGTCACGATTCACTTTTGTTGAAAAGGTACACAAAAGATAACTGTGAATGGTGATGACTTCTTTTGTGATTCATGAAAATAAATTAAGTCACAGTTGTTGTTGTTTATTAACACAAGGCTAAGAACAAAGAGTTTTCATGTGTAAAGCTATCATGTAAAATCAGAAAATATGTTTGTATTCTTTATGTATAATGTAGATTAATGCATATTTTATTGCTTTGCTAAGTAATGACGTATTTTATGTGCTTGTTTTTCAGAGAAAAACTCCAGACGGCCTCCTCAAGCTTACCTGATCCTGGCTGGTGCAGAGCCACTCACCTTTACCAACATCTTTCCTTACTGGGAGAAAGACCCAAGTATTAAAGTGCAGGTATGAGCCACCACATTTAGCTTTCAGAACACCAGAGATGTGAAGCATAGCTTGTAGTAAACGCCCACTGGTGTGTTAGCTAACAATTTTGCATATTAAAACATTTTCAAAATTTCACAAGGATCCACACCAGTATAAACATCTATTTGTATGTTTGATGGCCAGTATCCTTTGTGAATAGACAGTGCTGTAGCAGAGGAAAACTGGTGAAAGCTGTGTGGCTAAACCCCTTTAGCATCCTCAGCTCGCCACTTTAAATCTGGCTCAGAGTGAGTCATTGTAAAACCCATAGGGAGTCTCTGTGATTTAAGTTAAAACACTATTAAAATACTATAGAAAGTGATCTATAATCAACACACAAGGTGTGAGACCACATAATTAAAGCAGTTGCTCAGATTTGTTGCTTCAGATCTAATATAGTCAGTACAGCATTGTCTTACTTTATGAAGTGAATGAAAGATCAAGTTCTTACTAACACTGTATGGAACTTCAATAAAAATACAGTCCCTGAACTCTTTCTTAATTCTTGGATCAGAAAGAAGGCTTTGCAAAAGCTTGGACTGGGCAGTCTTTTGTCTTTGTCCCAACTTTGACCTTAGTTTTAATTTGCCTCTCTTCTTATTTACCTATGACATGCACTCATCTGTGTAAAAGCAGCCATTGACCTTTTGTGAGCTGCATTATTATGTTATAAAGTGGCACATTTTACAGCGTGTAGTTTTGACATTTTGGCTTCAAAAAAAGCTGTTTTTAGACTAAGGTTTTGAGATCTGAAACCTGCAGGATGTTTTTATAATGCATTGATCTGTTATATTTAAAAATTAGGTTTGTAATTAGTTAGTGAGGAAAAACAATGACAGTAGTGTCATTATTAATTCACCCTTATGCCATTCCACACACATAAAACATTCATATATCATCGAAAACCCAAAGGAAGATTTGTTTTATTTAAGAATGTGACATATTGTTGTCCCATTGATACTGCTGACACTTAAAAGCATAAAGAAAATATCCTTATAAGTCATGTTTAATCAAGGACACATTGAAAAAACAGTTTGAAGAGATTTCATTTGTCTTTTATTTTATCTAAGAATACTTCTACAAAATAATCTATGTAATTTTATTCTCTGTAGTATTTTTAATGCTGCAGATGAGTTGTTGCTTCATTAATTATTGAATAGACCATTGTGTAAATAATGGTCTATTTCAGTACAACCCGAGATGTTTAAATTTGAAGTCTATGGATAATGAAGCTGTGTTTTGATGTCTGTGCAGGTGGAAGGGGCCCGTAATAAAGTTATTCTGGTTAAAGATGCCCTATCTAAGCTTAGCAGGCAGCAGTACACTGTGGAAGAGCTCACGTCCAAACCCCTGCCAGAGGGAGTGGACCCTCTGCGCCTTGAGTGCTACTTGTCAGATAAAGATTTCCAGGTAATATCCTGCATAAAAATGCTCAAACATGGTCTTTATCAGTTGCTTAAAAACACTAAATGCCAAGATGCTGCACATTCAGATGTTATCATCCAGACTAACAGTACCACATGAAATTTCACTGTGATGAAAGAATGAGAGTTTTTTTTTTTATCCACTTCAAACTTATTGGTTGATTAATGCAATGTACAGTTTGTAGTATGTATGTTTTTCGGAACCTTAACATGCTTGAATACTCTAAAAACTTTAAACACGTGTGGACATTTTTTACTCACAGTTAGCCATTGGCCTGTAAAAGTTTCTAATGGTATGATAACCTTGGATAAAAATATAATTGTTTCACGATATTGTGATTACAGCTCTAAAATATATTCTATTAAAATGTCTGGGTAAAAAAACAAGAATTTTTTTCCGCTTTGAACACAGTGGTCGCATCCAAAATGGCATACTTCCATACTATATACAATGCTAAAAACAGTATGCGAGCTGAGTAGTATGTCTGAATTTATAGAAGTCGAAAAACAGTATGTGAGAAGTACCAGGATAACCTACTACTTCCGGCGAGATTCTGAAATTTGCACCCGATGCACATTACACTATCCAGTGATGCACCATGTGAGAATATGAATGAGTAAAGCGACACAACTGATGCGGATTTTTCATGTGTTGATGACAAAATGTCATCCATAGTAAGTCCAAGCTCTATTCATACTACATAGAACATATTTTCTAGTGGTCGAGTAGTTAATTCAAATGCACTGAATAGTAGGTGATTTCAGCCGAAGCCAAGATATTTTATTTTGAGAAACATTTACATTTAACAGTAACATTGGAACAGTAAACATGTCAGGCTAAATAATTCAAATGCATCATTGACTTCTGCTGTATTCATTGGTTTCAAAAACACAGACTTCTTTACAATTTAAAACCGCATCTTTGGATATCTTTTCTGCTGGAGATACTGCTGTGCAAAAATTAAAAACAAAATGTAAAAAAAGATCTTACATATACTGTAGGAACAGTATAACAAAAAATTTTGGTTTAGTTTTGTAACCTTGACTTTTCCAAACTGTGGTATACCTTGAAAAGGTTATCATCCAAATGCCTACTCACAGTCACCAAAATTCACACAATTCTTGATCTCATTATTAGCCATTATTGGCTCAGCATGGATTTAAGACAAGCTAAATTGTGAGCAGATTGTTGATATCTTGACAAGTTTGGCCATGAGAAGGCAATAAAAAAGGCAAGAAATATGAAACAGAAGGTGTGTAATAATAACTTCTGCATATACAGTAGAAACTGTTAATGATCTGATCTCAGCAGTCTGTTTGTTGGAAGATTTTGATCACATAGATGCGAGCAGTCTGTTTTCAGTCTATATTTATCCAATTTTCTTCAATGCCTGCCAGCTTAATGTCAAAAACTGCAGATACTGCTTAAATAGTGTGGCCATGGCAACGAATCAAACATCACAACAGAGTTGTTGACTAGTCAGACACTGTCAAAAGATCAGACACGTGTGCAGTAGGGGGCTCGCTAATGCCACCTTTCGTCTGAGTTGTAAGGGCATGTTTTTAATTACATTAACAACTCAATAATATTAATATTAAAATGAACAACGTTCTTGTTTAGTCAATTGCTCTGTCCTACAGAAATCCATCTATTTAGATCTAAATGTGAAAAAAAATCTCATACAAAAATAAAGACATTTACCTTTTAAATTCAAACTTCACATGAGTCATTCAAAGTTAACATGAGTATTTTTCCTGAATTTAATTAATTTTTTTTTAAGTTGTAAAAATACTAAATAGTAAAGGTGCATAACTACGGCTTTCCAATAGATGGGGTTATAGAATTAGAAATGTCCTACTAGGCAATGATCCTCCACTCACTCTTCTCCTGGTGTGCGTCACACACTTTCTGAGCTGTAGCACGTTTACGTCATTGCTTGTGTTTTTCATTGCTGTTAGAGGTTGTGCTGGTGCAGTACAGTTTTGCCAAACTGATAACTTTATCTCATTCGTCCATTTTCTTTTCGTCTTAGTCCCTTTGTTAATCTGGGGTCGCCTCAGCAGAATGAACCTCCAATTTATCCAGCACATGTTTTGCACAGCGATGCCATTCCAGCTGCAACCCAACACTGGGAAACACCCATACACCCTTGCATTCACAAACATACACTACGGCCAATTTAGCTTATTCAATTCACCTGTACCCCATGTGTTTGGACTGTAGGGGAAATTGGAGCACCCAGAAGAAACCCACGCAAACGCGGGGAGAACATGCAAACTCCACACAGAAAAGCCAACTGACCCAGCAAGGGCTCGAACCAGGGAACTTCTTGCTGTGAAGCGATGGTGCTATCCACTGCGCCACCACGTTTCCCTTGTTTATTTCATTTTAATAATAATATTATTATTATTTATTTTATTTTTATTTGTTATGTTATTTGTATTTGTATTCAGTGATGTTTAATCATATTAACCTCCTCTCCCACTTGCGATGGCTTCCTGTCACATGAGACAATTATTAGTCTCCAGTTTATTTTTTTCTCCAATTTCTGGCGCAAAGATGTTTTAACACACTTCTAAACATAATAGTTTTAATAAATAATCTCTAATAACTGATTTGTTTTATCTTTGCGATGATGACAGTAAATATTTTACTAGAAACTAGACACTTCTATACAGCTAAACTAGGTTAATTAAATATTTTATAATGATGGTTTGTTCTGTAGAATATTGGGGGAAAAAAATAGCTTAAAGGGGCTAATAATTTTGTTCTTAAAATGGTGTTTAATAAAAATTAAAAACTGCTTTTATTTTAGCCGAAATAAAACAAATGAGACTTCCTTCAGAAGACAAAAATATTATCAGACATACTGTGAAAATTCCTTTGCTCTGTTAAACATCATTTGGGAAATATTTTAAAAAGGAGGAAAAAAATGAAAGGGGGGTAATAATTCTGACTTCAACTGTAGATAGTTCACAAATAAATCAAATATGAATAAATTTTTAGCGACCCTGATGTTGTGTTCATTTTCTAACAGCTTATTTTTCATACTGTGTGCATTTGATGCTGACATATTGTGTCTGTTTTGCAGGGACTCTTGGAGATGACTCGGGATGAATTTAATACGCTTCCAAACTGGAAACAGCTAAATCTGAAAAAGAGCAAAGGTCTCTTTTAAATAAAAGAAATTTGCGTGTACGAATGTGACCTCTTGTATATTCATATTATAGAAATATCTATACTTTTTACAATTTATATATGCACATATATCACCTATATGTAAAGATTTTCAAAAGATGATGTTACCGGATACATCAACACTTTTCTTCACGTTTTAACTTGGCAAAACGTGTACGTTTTGGGAATAGCATAAAGCATTCTGACATAGATCTATATATGCCAAGCTTACATTGTAATAGTGTATCATATTTTTTTATTTTATTTTTTACCGTTTAACTAACTGTGTTGCTATGAACTTAGAATACATTAAACACTAATGCTGACAATTAATGTAGCCAATTGAAAACAAATAGATGCCTTTTGTTAAGTCATTGAGCTTACAAGACTCACAAAAAAATGCTCTTTGATTCATAATTTGAGCTTATATCAAGTGCACTGCTGCCACTGGAACGAATGACAAAATTTAAAATTGTGATATTTTTAAAGTAACAGACAACAAAGGATGAATGTGTGTTGTATTATGCTAGCAAAGCATGTACTATATCAGCTATTGCTTGATAATAAATTCACTTCAAAATCATACCACTTGGTGTCACTGTCCTTTGCTTATATTCATTGTCTGGCTTATTTTTTATTTTTAAGCTGTCATTTCTGTAAAGCATTTTACAGGTTTGCTATTTCAGATCTGTGTTTATTACTATTTGTATCAGTACACTAGCCTAAGTCTTGTCGTCGGTCCCCGGTTTAAGAACAACAAATAATAACTTGACTTCTAGTTGATCATTATAAAAAGTGGTAGAAGAGAGATATTTTAGATGAATCATTTGTTGAACTGCATCCCAATCATCACAAATACTGCTAAAGACCTATTGGAGCCCGCATGGACCCAAGATTCTCATAGAACTACGTCAAGTTTGGTGAAGTAAAAATTGTGGTTTGGGGTTAAATTCAGTTTGGAAAATCTACATTTTGGATGGCAACATGCACAGCTTTATGTATCAAAACATTTGTGTTGCCCATTACATTACAAACCACAGGAGAGGGCAAACTCATTCAGCAGGATAGCGCTCCCTCTCATACTTCAGCCTCCACATCAAAGTTCCTGAAAGCAAAGAAGGTCAAGGTGCTAAAGGAGAGGCCAACCCAGTCAACCGTCATGGACATTATTGAGCATATCTGGGGTAAGATGGAAAATCCAAAGAATCTGGATGAACACTGGGAGTCCTGCAAGAATACTTTCTTTGCCATAAACTATATGTTATGATAAGTCATAAACAATATTCATTCTTGTTCCACTGCACCATGACTTTATATTCTATACTGTATATGAATTATTTTAAGTGACAGGAGTTTTGCATAAGCAAAGTCAGACCTTACTATACCAATTAAATAATTAAAAATCAAGACATGATCATATTTTATATTGGTAAAATAAGCAAAATCTCGAGGCCTTTGTTTTTGATATTAGCCACATCTGATACTAAATGGTCAACTAAGTTATTAGTCAAGTTATTATTTGTTGTTCCTAAAATTTGCATTGCCGACAAGACGTTTGCCAGGTAATGTAGTATACACCAGTATTTACATTGTTTGACGGCAATTGCTTTATTAAAAATACAGTAAAACCGCAATATTGTAATTATTTTGTACTGTGGTGTCAATAAATTACTGAGCCTTCAATGCGACATAATCTTTTAAAAATAAAGGGATTTCATTTAAGAAGCGTGCTGAGTGCTACAGTTAGTTATTGTCCTTTGAAAAGCTGTGTTGGAATGTCTAAAAGTTTACCTAATTTAATTAATTATATTTCAGCACCCCAGGTTGCCTTGGTGGACAACAGTGCATTTCTTTTCAGTTATGAAGGCTGTCTCTGTGTAAAAACGTGACCTCCGGTGGTCAACCTTAGGAATGTGATGCAGGGTTGAAGTTATGGAAATCCACATAAGAGTTTTTTTTATTTTTTATTTTTTTTTTTGTTTTTTGTGACAAACAATAAAAAATAGAGACATTAGCTGAGCAGTTTACAGCGTAATCCAATAGGTTCACTCCAAACGCGAGCATCACATCACTCTAGTTTACTCACAACATTTTTTTCACCTCAAGCTAATTTCCAATATGTTTGTGGCAAATATGCTACACATTTTGCTTCAATTGCAACACACTGCCTTTATTTGTGCATTTTTATTAACTTTGCATAATCTACTTTTGTGAGTGCTTAATTTTGCTTGCTCCTAATACCTAATTAAAAAGTGAATTGGCTCACTATCTGTGTGTGCACCCATCTGAGGATGGGCTGAGTGAAAAAGAAAAATCCAAAATTTTGATTTTGAACTGAAGTAACATTATTATCAGTGTTAGGGTAACGCATTTGTATTACAAATAATCAAGTTACATAATAATCATTTTCTAACTTACTAGTAAAATAACACATTACTTAAAATTATTAGTAATATTTGAGTTACATAAAAAAATTATGTAAGTTACTTTTTAGTTAAATTAATTAACATAGTTAAACTGAATCATGCAATCAATGGAGAGGGGTCTGACGCAGTGCAACCTGAGCTGCATCCATGCGCTCAACTCTACCCCTCACAGTGACGTCACTAGCTCCATTGAGTGCATTGTGTCTGACATTGCATCACTGAGATATGCAGTCTCAGCTTGCAACATCAAGGCTACTTCCAGATACTATTGATTCTGTGGGAATAGACAAATCAATATGGCAGGCCAGAGCCTTACATTTTTGCAATGTAAGTATTCTTATCATTTTAAACACATTGAAAGAAAATGAAAAAGATATTGTCTTTATGAACAATGATTTGGCTTAAATATTATACCAAAAAGTACTGACACTGCTTCAAAACTGCTAGTTGATTTAAACTTTAAATAAGATGTATACTACATGTATAGCTCTGGGATCAGGACCTTCTAAGAAGATAACAGTACCCTAAATTGTTGTTATTTTTTATATGTGTGTTTTTTAACAGTAAATGAAGGTGTAAGTTATACATTGTGTTGTTCATTGCAGAGCTCCAGTCTTGAAAACGATCAAGTCTCACCCAGGTAAGAAAAAGTTATGCCAAAATAATCAGAATTTTTTACTGTAAAAAGTAACGAAGTAACGCAATTTGTTTGTTTTTTGAGTAACTGAATAGTCTAAAGCATTACTTTAACAAGTAACTTTCCCCAACACTGGTTCTAATCAGTGTTGAAAGTAATGCATTACAAGTAAGGCGAGTTACGTATTAATATTATTTTTCTAATATTAGTAACGAGTAAAGTAATACATTCCAAAAATTAAGCTATAATATTTGAGTTACTTTTTTAATAATGTAACGCAAGTTAATTTTTAGTTGAATTAGTTAGCTTTTACAAAATAAATTGCTGAATTTAAATGAAAATAGCCACACTGAATCACACAGTCAGGTAGAGAATGTGTTATTATTTTGAATGCATCGAAGAAAAGGAAAATGGGATCGTCTCAATGGACAGTGAGTTTGTTTTACTTAAGGCAAATAGTACAAAGGTAGTAAAACACTTTGCTTTAAACTTTCAATAATATGTATATACGCCATGTATAGCTCTGGGGTCAGGAAGTTCACAGATTACATTATCCTAAAATATATTTTTATGTGTTTTTAAAGGTGAATGGAGGTATAGGTTATGCAGTGTGTTGTTAAATGCAGAGTTCCTCTATTAAAAAAAGAAAGAAAGAAATTCTGAAAGAGGTCAAGCATCAGCCAATTAAAGTAATGTAAAAGTAACTTAAAAGTAAAGTAACACATTACCTACCGTAAAAAGTAACTAATGCAACTCCTTTTTTAGGAAGTAACTCAATATTGTAATGGATTACTTCCTGGATTACTTCCTTTTCCCAACACTGCTTATAATAACAAATAATACTGTACCTAAGCAGGTTAGAGCCTTCTATTGAATAATTACTTCATGGACGATGACGTTTAAGCTGGTGTCAAGTTATTTAACCTTAAAATCATGCAGAGAGTAAATACTCATTTTTATAAATAATCATGTTGCAAGACATCCTGTGGTCATCAGAAAATGTTAATCTGTTTCAGAAAGGTCAAATTGGCATATTGACATTCAAGCAAAGAACACATCTAATATTGCAGAAACTACTAAAATTGTCAAGATTTGAGAAAAGCAATGTAAGAAAACTGTAAGGAAAGTGGAGAACCTCATCTTTAAGAAAGAAAAGTGGTCGGAAAAAAATTCTTTATTGATCTACATGGGCTATTGCTGAAATCAAACTGTAAAATAAAAACACAGTAGAACTCAAGTCTAAGTTTATTATTGGTTTAATGTTAGTGAAAGAACGTATTTCCACACACACACACACACACACACACAAACACACAATTTAAAGGGAACCACAGGGACTGGGAGTAAACAGCTGTGTAGCCTTCAGAAAACCACTTATCACTGGGGCTAATAATAATTTAAAAAAAGGCTTCAATTTCCTAGGGAGCATAGGGATTGGATCTGGAGCAACAGAAAAAGGTCATGTGTTGCAGATTTACCCTGTTTCAGTGATGGGTATATCAGGGTAAGAGGAGAGGCAGATGAAGCGATGTGCCCATCATGCCTACCATACAAGCCTGTGTGTGCAAAATAAATATGATATCGCAGAAGAATTATGTAATGATGCCATAGTGAAATCATGCCGTAATCAAAGCTAAAGGCGGTCCGACAAAAATATTGGAATTTTCTTTTTCTGAAAAGGCAGTGTATAACATGTCTTAACTGTTGCTTTTTTATTTATTGTATCTCTCCTGTCTGATTAGATATGCTGTATATATGCAGTATACACTCATTAGACATTTTATTAGGTACACCTGTCCAACTGCTTGTTAACAGACATCTTCTGCAGTTTAAACCGAGCATCTGAATGGGGAAGAAAGGTGATTTAAGTTACTTTGAAGTTACTTTATTGCATGGTTGTTGGTGCCAGACGGACTGGACTGTATTTCAGAAACTGCTGATCTACTGGGATTTTCACGCACAACCATCTCTAGGATTTACAGGGAATGGTCTGAAAGAGATAAAATATCCAGTAAGCAAATCGTCACCTTAAAATTATACGGTTCTATCTGACATTTTTGTCAAAATTTAGTTATTGGCATAATCTTATTAAATGACAACTTATTTTACAATATGGTATTTTTTAATAAGTTGTTTAACTTTTAAGACTTTTTATTTAGAAAACAAATGTTACACACATACTGTTTGCTATGCAATGCAAAAACTCTGAAGCTCAATATCTCAAAATCCTTCAGAACGCAGATAGAACCTTATAATTTCAAGGTGACAAAATGCCTTGTTGATGCCAGAGGTCAGAGGAGAATGACCAGATTGGTTCCAGCTGATAGAAAGGCAACAGTAACTCAATTAACCACTCGTTACAACCAAGGTATGCAGAAGAGCATCTCTGAATGCACAACATATCAACTCTTGAGGCGGACCACACCGGGTGCCAATTCTGTCAGCTAAAAACAGGAAACTGAGGCTACAATTCACACAAGCTCACCAAAATTGGACAGTAGATGATTGACAAAAGTTGCCTG